ATTTTCTTCCCTATCAGAAGTGTTCATTTTAATGATATAAAAATGCATATTCCCCCCATGTGCGTTTTTTTTCTACAGTAGTTAAGACATAAGTCAAAAATAATTAGACGGTTGCAAATTTTCCCATAGTCAGACAGTACATTTTCTGGGTTAAAAATTTTGTGACAGGGCTAAAAGAAAACCTTTTAAATTCAAACGCCCTATTTATGTGTTAATCATGTTGTAAAAAGTTGTAAATATTTTATAGTTCATATTTCCAAAATCATTTCCAAAACACTTCCATAAAAATTAATGAGATTTTTGATATTTCCATATAGCGAGAAACTTGGATATTTTTTCCATATTTCAGTAGTTTTGTCCATACTTTTTTATCTCAGTGACATTTCATCCTATTATCATGTTTACAAGTTTAATATTTTGTGACACAGGTCACATTGAATAACTTTTTGTTAAAATTAAAAATTAGTGTTAAGGTCTTATAAGTCGTACTGATGTGATACTATTTGATAACTAATTAAGGTTGATACCGATTTTCACTAAAGCATAATTACACGTGCACAAAATTTGTTAAGTGTATTTGTGCAATACTTATAACATTTACAATACACTACTAAGCATTTTTCTCTTGTAAAATATCAAAATTTATCCAAGTATATTATATACAAATCACTCCTAAATGCAGGAAAAATGCATTCAGATAGGTGATCGTTGTCATATCATTTGCAAAAGTTTCAAATTCCCAATAAGTAATGTGACTTTTAAAATTATTTATGTAGCAAAATCAAGATTGGGAAACAAAATCTAATATTTTTATCTTCTGTAATAAATAGCATAATTTTCCTCTTCAAATTACAATTATCCACACAATAAAACGTCCTTTGAAATATTTTTGGATTACTTTTTAAAATATTTAAAATTCATGGAAAATTTTAATTCAGAACATAAGCAATCGCAGTTTTGATTTAGAAAAAAAAATTAAATTTATGCATTACAATTTGCTGTAGATCTGCTAGAGTGACATAAAAATTTTTAGTTTTTATCCTCAAATATTTCTTTATTTTTTAATGTTTTATTAATTTTTAAACTGCTTACGAAACACAAAATTGAAATTTTAAAAAGTTTTTTTCTTTAAAAAAAATTGTGCCGGAACTAGTTGGATATCTTAAAATAAATTTTTTGATTTTTCTTATTTAAAAGTTTGATAATATAATGAATTATTTTTCAAACAGAGTGAAACATAGTTATTTTCTTCGAAATGATATTATTTACATGGAAAATAGTAGAAAAATGTTACCAAAACAACGGATTGCATAATTTTATTTTATAGTAAAATTACTGATTTCTACATAGTAGTATTTCTTAATATCTTGCAATTTTTTAGTATTTTTAAATATTTTACGAACTTTAAGTTATATGACTTATAGTATTAGAAATTAAAGAATTATATGATGACTAACTTATAGTGCCAATTCAATACATTTTTCATACAAAAACTTCACGAAATAGAAAATATCGTAAACTGAAAAATACAGAAAACCGGGAAGTAAGTAAAACAATTAAAACAAAATACTTGTTTAAAATTAAATATAGCCTTCCCCTTAACTGTGAACTGGATTTAAATTTTATGAAACCAAACAAATATTTAATAAACGTAATTAATAAAACCAGCTTAAAAATGAAGGCAAATTTTCTAAGAAAATTCATTAAATAACTGAAACAAGTATAATGAATCTCATTCAGTCAAAATTAATTCAGTCAAATTCAGTCATGCATAAGAAAATGGAAGCTGCTAAAAACAATCTTATGTGTCTAATACTTCAAATACTCCAATTTAATATAATTGCTTGTGTAACATTATCAGTTTTGGAAATAAATATTTTGAAGTCATTGGATACAAAGTTTTGAGACAGACGGAATTATCAACAATTTTAATGCATCCCGAGTTGCATAAATTGTGTTTTCATCTAAGTATCATATTAAAACTTTATCATACTTATTTTAGAAGTTGTGATAACTTAAAGGTCTCTGAAAGTTTTAATTCGGTTCTTTTAATGGGTAATATAAATAAATTATTAAATATACCTACAATCGATTGCGTTTACATTTGTAGAATTAAAAATATTACTAATGCTTCATTGTTATGCAAATTTTAAAATTATTCACAATTGTCCATATTTTTATCTGCTTCATTTTTATAAATAACTTACCATTCTCTGCGATTACGTCTATTATAATTGCTTTACTCCTTATAAATTTTAAATACTTCACTTTTATGTATATTTATAATTATGGAAATAAAAAAATTATCGAATTTTATAACTTAATTCAGCAAATTATGGGAAATAACCATCTAATTCTTTTAATGAAACCTCAGATTTCTTTTTGAGCAAATTTATAATAAAATTAAAGTAGAACCGTATTTTTCGCAAAGATTTTCTTACAACTATGAGATTTCTATTAAACTTTTCACTTATTTCCTAAGATAATGTATTAACTATTTAATATATTTTATTTAGTGCCCTTAGTATTGTCCAAGATCTACAAGAATTGGAAAAACAGAATTTATTTGCAATTTCATTGGAAATTTTGCAAATACACCAAAATTCTATAATTTATTTTTAGAAATTTGTATCTACTGTTACTTCTAGAAACACAACGGTAAAAAAAATTACTATGTTAGAAACACATCTAACGAATCAATGTATGGATTTAAAATATTTATAATTTCAATTTATATATATATATA